ATAATCCAGACACTGCAAACAACCCCAGGGAAGGTCTATTGCTACTGGAAACACTTCATGGGGACTATTTACAATGCCTGGCAGTGCTCCGCCAGCAGGGAGTCCTGATACACAGGAAAAGCAAATTGCTCCTTGTAAACCAGGAATGGTTTATGGTTTTGCCTCTATAGTTTTAAAAAATAATAACATTAGGCTGTTCCCTGGGGTTCAGCAGAGTGTAGTTTCCTCAGGTTCACTCCAGCCACACAAGGACCTGTGTTCACAGGGACCCTGCGCTGCTCAGTGACGGGGATGCAGGCAGTCATCACGACAACTCCATGCATTTCTGAGCACATAATGATGTAATAACTTTTCAAATAAACACAGAATGTCTATCACCGATTAGGCCAAATAAACACCACTTATTTTTAACCAAATGGTGCTTAATAGTATTTATGAGAACAATTTGATTCTTAGCATTTTTTTTCTTAATGAAAAATGCAAGTCTTTTTTAGCACAGTAAAAAGGCTGATATCATATACAAAGCCCTACAGGAGCTATTACTGAACCATCAGAAGAGACACCAACTAACATAGGTCAGAGACCACACACTAAACAAAGTGAAGAAGGAATGGAAAGAAGATGATACATCTCAGAGCTAATGAAACAGAAGCCAGAGAAGTGTCTTAACCAGCTGATCTGCTGATGGGCTGTTGGAAAAGCCTGACTTGGAAAAGGTATTACATTTTAACAAGAACATTTCCTCAAACCAAGCACAGCTCCCATTCCCCTGCAGGGAGGATTCCTTTCCTGTCACTGGCATCAACAAGTGACAGAAATGGGCTTTGGACAGACTTTGCTCATGCACTGTGAAACAGACAATGAATCTCAAACAGTATCTGTCCCTCTCTTACAATGTCATTCATGGTGCGCATTATATTATTATGTTTCTGAAATCATGAAGCCTAGATTCAAATCTTAATTCCACACTTTCAGCTGTGTGGCCTTGGACAAGCTGCTTCAAGGAGAAATAATGGTACCTACATCACTGAGGTGTGAAGAGGACACAGTTAATATATGTGAAGTGGCTGAACGGTGCCTGGCACGGTTTTCATTATTATTGATATCTTGGAGGACAGTATCTTTCCATATAATTAAATTATTTATACAAATAAATAAGGTGTGTTGATACTTCACTAACCATTATTAAGCTCCCCAGAACAGACTGCGCTGGGTGAAGCACAACTAGCTTAATGAGAATGAATATAGGAATAACGATTCAATGCCATGATTGAGGTTGTTCGCTATTGCTTAGTCAAATTAAAGTATTTTACAACATCATTCAAAGACAAGTGCAGTAATTTTTCCACTACTTGGAGGTCTGCAAATGCATCATTTCTTCTCCTGAAAGTCAGTTTTCCATTAGCTTTCGAAGGCTTGTATAAATGAAAAGTGGATTCTCTTAGATTTAAATAATGCTTCTCTTTATATCTTCTGACACTCCAAGTTACTTTAAGTTTACACCTTTGCTTCATTATTCACTCTGCTATGTGTCTTCTCTGACTTTTCTTTTTCAATTTGGGAAAACACTGCAAATGCAGCCTTAACTATTTGTAGCCCTCCCTCCTCCAGCTTCAGATTCAATAGGGGAATATAAGGAGTACACCCACTGTTTTGAAATTATTTTTCATTTTTCAGAGGATTCCAAATATGGATGTTTCTAGCTCTTTCATGCTATTTATTGCTTCTCAAGGAAAAAAATAATGTTCAGTTTTCTTTAATATGTTTCTGGAGCTTCTAAACTGTATTATGAAAAGTATCTAGGGTTTCTTGTTTTCAAGTAAAATTTGTTTTTCTTTCAAAACTGAACTCCTGCCCCGACCTGCATGGCTCAGTTGGTTGAGCATCATCCTACAAAGTCAAAGGCCGCCGGTTCAACTCCTGGCCAGGGCACATTCCTGAGCTGTGGGCCAGGCCCGCAGCTGGAGCACGTGCAAGAGGCAACTGATGGATGTTCACTCCCTCCCTTCCCCTCTCTCTAAAAAAAAATATATATTTTTTAAAAAGCAAAAAAACTAAAACCCTCAGTTTTATTAAAATCTATACCAATTTCATTCTGTGTGAAAAAGGAAATCAGCAATATTAATAGATATGGAACTTCTTGAAATTTAAACACCTCCCCCCGCCCCCCGCTTCCCATGTCTACCTTCTAAATTAATGGTGCGTTTACTTTTCATTCACACTGGACATAATAACAACAACAAGTAGAAGAAACCCTCGTTATAAGTGTTCTTCATAGATCAGTAGCCCATAAACATATTTTGTTTAGTTGACATTTTTCTAATGTGAGTTATCATTTAAAATTATGGACATTTTATATGTAAATCTGGATTTTCAGCTCCTCCGAAAAATTAAAAGTTCTGGGATTTCTGGATCCGCATTGTCAGCATGGCAAACAGCTATCTGGGGCATAGTAGCTGCTCCCCTTCAATACAGTATGAACTTCCAATGCTATTTAGCTCTGCTCCCTGAAGTGCTTCTCATAGGTTCCCCCAGGAAGGAATCACTGTGACAATTCCATTTTGAATGCACATACTCTTTAGTTCAGAAAAAACTATGGAAGGTCATATAAGTAAATGTGGATATTTGCTGTGGCACGCCTTCTAAAAGCAAAAAACCTGAACCATCAACGGGGACTGGCTGATTAAATGATGGCAAATCCATCCAAGAGAATACCAGAGGGCCCTCAAAAGCAATAAGGTAAATCTAAGCACATTGAAATGAAAAAAAGAAAAGTGTCCAAAATGTATTATTAAGTGGGGAAAAAAAAAAAGCATGGTTCAGAAAAGTCTGTAACATACCATCCCATCTGTGGGCAAAATGAATAGAACTATTAATATATGCTTTTATATGCATTTCAGATTTGGAGAAGAAAATATAAGAAAAATTTTAAACCATGTATATATTTAAAATATATCTTTCAATACACATTAGATATAAAATATGTATGTATTTATATACCTTGTGTGTGTATATATAAAACACTTAAAAAAGGAAGCACCATGAACAGAGATATTTCAAATCATTTCATGAATAATTATCATCACATCTTCATGTTATGTATCGGATTTCCTGTCTTGGTTACAGAGTGCCTCTAGAGGTAAGCTTGGCTTCCTATCTTAGGCAAGGAGAAGAAAAAGCCTTCTGGATGCCCTTCACCCAGGTCCAAGAATAGCACAGAAATGACAGCCACTTGGGAGCGGTGTCTATTCAGAGTCCTTTGTAGCTCATGTTGCCTCTGCTACCATCTTTTCAAAAGAGAAAACAAGCAGGCCAGAGAAGCAAGAGCTCCTCCTGAGAGAGCTGCCAGGCTCAGCTCTAAACACCCCTTTCAGCCCCCTTCCCGGGTGTACAGGCCCTGGGGGTCGGGGGAGACAGAGGGATACCATATATCATGGCTGTTACTATTGCTGTTACTGCTTTGGGCTGAGTGGGGGAAGAAGAGGAAGAAAAGAGACTAGTTAGTTCTATTCTCACCAGCAGAAACCCTACCTGGTCAGCCCATACAGTAAAGGGCTGGCTCTTCTTCCCACTAATGAAAGGGGAACACTGTCTTGCCTTCCACTGTGCTCAGGAAGGGCAGCCAGGACAGCTGTATGATGAGCTGTAGGTATTACCTTTCAAGAAGAGCACTGTGCTGGGGCCACGGGAAGCCAGGGCCAGTGCAGAGCAGGCCACTAGTAGAATGCCATGCCCCTGAGTTACACCCTGTAATGGCTATCTAGCAGAAGCTACCCCCATTGGCACACCACACTCAAGACCAGACACTCATCCACAGCCACTGTGGGACTCTCCAGCCCAGCCTTGCCCCAGGCCTCAAGAACCAGAGGAACTGTCAGCCCTTCTTCCATCCCTTGATCCTACCTCCAGACACACCGCTAAGCCCACAAGGGCATCCAAGCCACACCTGAATAAAAGAACCAGGATGCATATAGCACTTCTAAAAGTTACCACCTCCTGCTAAATCATCGTTTGGGGAAAGAAAAATAGTTTGCAATTAATTACAAACAATAAAGAAACCTACATAAGGAACAGACAGACGACTCCCATAACCCTCACCCCCGACAGCCTACACTCACATACACGCACACACACGCATTCATGCGCTCATGAGCCTGTGTTTGTGCTTTTCTTGAGAGCCAGAGTCTGGGGTTTAAATATCCCCATTCTTTTCAACTACTATGATACAGAGAAACATGCAATCTATGTAGGCACCTACATTTCACATACATATCTACTGGGGACTAACAGGGACACACAGAAGCTAGAAAACCTAGGTTGTATTATTTAGAAAATGATACTCTTAATACTACATTATACTGTATTATATATATAATACTATACAGCACTACTTCCAAAATAAAAGAGAAAATAAAACATGGTCCCCTTTGCTCTTTTCTCTTAGGTCCTCCCTTTTTCAGTATTCTAGTGTTCCCACACCACTAACTTTGAATTAAGAGCCTGCTAGGGCTGACTCAAGCCTTATCACAAAGATGATCTCAAATATGGCAGATATGCTCCTGTTTGGTCGATTTAAGGAGCTATACCTAGAAAAGAAATAAAACTACTTCTGGCCCCACTAATTCAGAATTGATGATAATGCAATGTACCCCTCAAAGTTCAAGATGAATCTTCTAACTGTGGCCTGCTAAACACCTGGGAAGATAAGACATGGACTGGGTAAGCCATTTAAGATGACAGACTATCTTCGCAAACCTCCTGCCTTGCTGTCTCTGTACTATTATAATTTGTTATCATTAAGGTAATAATTACAAATGTCTTACTTGTTTACCAAGCAGGTCTACTAAGACCAGCTATAATCAGCGACTACATGCATTTAAAATACCTTCATGTCAAACATTTCATCCTTCATTTTTCTAATTCCGACTGGCCTTCTCAGTCATTGCTGTTTTTACTGGATATTGGAACGTGCACACAGCAAAATCTCCGAAGGTGCTTACCTCTGAATCTTTGGCCTGCTGATTACGAACGACTATCAAATTGTACAGGATTCTGTCATCATCCGCCTCTGTGTGGGACACATCGTGAGGCATGCTCCACAAATTCTTTTCATCCTCCCTCTCGAGAGTTGCTCCAAATGAAGAATATGTATTGGTAGAACTATGATATAAAAAAAAGGTGTAGGAGGATTTTGTAATATTTAAAATATATACATCATATGCAGGCAATGTAATATAAATAAAATAAATAGCAATATATTATATAACATATAATGTAATATATAAATATATCTCTTTAACAAAAAGGTTTGAACTGTCTCTAATAACTAAGCACAACACAAATGTCTGAATTGTCTCCAATAACTAAGCATAACACAATAGAACAAAAAAAGTCACTTTAAAAACAGCAGAGAAGAGAGGTTATCAGACACCTGGGAAGAGGCAATTTTACTATGTTAAACATGAAATGTAGCAGTGAATACCCTGCAGCTAAAACAAAACAAAAAAAAAGGGAAATTCAATTGTGACTAGAACTTGCATTATGAAGAGAAGAAAACAACATAAAGAGATGATTTTTTTTTCCTGGCTCTAAATTCAGGAAGCATTGTAAACTTAAAATACAATAGGATATAGTATTATCAATTTCCCGACAACAAGAAAATGAAGTAATAAATATGCATATCCAAATATTTTCAATAATCAATGCCAGATGTTGAGAAAGAACTTCAGCAGCCCCATTTGGCACATTGGTTTTATGATTTTCCCTTTATAAGGGGGTCTCCACACCTGGACTTAGGGAGAAGAGTAGCAGAAGTCACAGCCAGGACATGCTTGTACACAGCCCCAGTTAACTCCTGTGGGACCAGACAGGTAGGGTCATGCTGGGGATACCCCCTTCATCTAATGATACGTACAAAGCACCGACTCCATGTTAATGACAGGGCTCAGGAAAACTGTGAGCAGCATAGACATGGTCCTTGTCCTTGGACCTCACTAGAGTCTAGGTCGGGAAACGCATTAATAAATGACCACATGACTAGATAATTAAAAACTGTGATAAGTGCTGTAAAGGGGGAGTTCAGGGATCCTTGAGAGCTAACAGGAGTAGGTGTCAGGTCGGCATTGTGAAAAAGGAGTGCTTGAGCTTTACACTGAAACGTAAAAACAGGGTTCCAGGCAACGGTAAGAACATGTTCAAAGGCCTGCGGCGAGAGGCAGCAGGGTGTGTAACATTATGCATTTGAAGAAAGGGGACATTGGCCAGAGAGTGAAAGAGAAGGTGGGGAGATGGCTGAGGCCAGGTCCACATGGCTTCGTGGGCCAAGTTTTCTCACATTCTTTAGAAACGCGGTCTTTATTCCTAACGGCAAGGCAAGATGTGGAAAGGTCTTAAGAAGGGCTGTGATGTGACATGAACAGTATTACAACTTTAAAGATCTTTCTGGCTGAAGTGTGGCGAATGCCTGAGAAGGGTCAAGTGGATCTGGGGATTCATTAACATGCAACTGAGGCAGCTCAGGTGGACACGGTAGGTATCAGGATTAGAAGGAAGGTATGGAGCTGAAGAAAAGTATGCTATTCAAAGATACGCCGCAAGTGGCAGCTCTCTGGCTTTCCACCTGGAGGGTGAGTGATGTCATTCTCTGAGACAGCTAGGTGCCCCATGACCAAGGGGTGCAAACATACCTGCATGTGTGACATGAGGGAATGGTAAATGAGGACAGAGGGACCCCGATAAACAGACAGCATCTGGGAAGGAAGGATGGGAGTAACCAACAGGCGGGCTTAAGGTACATGTGAAGATTTAAACAAACATGAGCTACCCAAGAGCTGCTACTAAAAAATCTTGCAATAGGAAGCAAGGTCTCAATCTCCAAATTGGGGTTCAACGGCAGGAACCCTCATATAGCCTCTTCGTAAGAACAATGAACTAATGACAGGTGATGCAACTGATGCCTCCATGTCCTGCCCATTCAGGCTTTAAAGAGCATGTCAAATCCATTCATTCATTCAGTCATTCATTTATTCAGTTATTTGTTTACCTAACAAACATGTAAATAGGTGCCTGCTGCAGATTGGGAGCTGGGTAGGGTGCTTTGGGGACTTGAAAATAAACAGGACATCATCCCTGCTTTTAGTGTGACTATAATGCAATGAGGTAAGTAAATTGTTTTTAAAAAGTATAAACAGAATGCATAGGAGCAGAGAACGAGTGACAGATTTTGTGTTCGTATGAGAAGGAAGTGCAAGAAAGGTTTCGTGGCAGCAACAACGTCTAACCCAGACCTAAGGACTACACAGCTTTTGATCAGGAAGAGAAGCAGGGGGAAAGGGAACCAACTGCACAGTCGCAACATATAGAGACTTAGTTCCTGCAGAGCTGGAGAATTCCAAGTTCAATACCACTCAGTGCACAGAGGGAGGGAAATGCGGGCATGTGAAGAAAAGGGGATGGGGGTCAGACTGAGGACAGTGTTGGAGTTCAGGCCTGACTCGATGAACTGTGACAAGCTAACAAGGGGATTATGGGCCTTATCAGGTCTGTTGTTTAGAGAAATAGCTTTGCCTGAGGAAGGAACTAGAAGAGGCTAGGAGGCTGTCACCAGAGGGCAGGTGTGGTTTTCGTGTCCTGCTCTTTGAGGCCCTAGTGTCAGGGCGTGGGGGCCACTGGGGAGAAGTGGAGCAGAAGATGGGCAGGGCCCTCCCAGGCAGAGAGAGAAGCCTGCAAACCACCACAACCAGAACAGCTGCTCTATTTAAAATCTTATGGTTAGAGATACAAAGATTTCTTGGGGGCACACAAAAGGTAGAGTTCTATTGCCAAATAAATACATATGTAATGCTAAACATATTGAAATACTGATTGTGGTGAGAGTGGACGAGGGTGTGGGCTAGGGAAAGAGGGGTGGGAAATGGAAACTGAGTCGGTGGATTCCAGCAGCATCTCAGAGGGGGAAGTGGCAGCCCTGTGACAGGTGACAGCAGCAGCAGTTCAAGAAGAGGGGTCAGAGGAGGCCCACGACGATGCTTTTAACGGGAACATCACAGAGGAAGAAGCTAAGGCTGAGCTGTGAACCTGCAGAATGTTCACAGGGAGGTGGGATCTGGGCTTAAAGGCAAGGGCAGGGCTGGAGATCTGGACTTGGGAGAGAGGCACATGCATTTCAGTCCCTGAGGAAGCCAAGGGATCAGAGGTGAAGTGAGGGAAAACCTCAGGGGAATAGCTAGACCTGAGGGACAGGGGTGGGAGGGAGCTGGAGAGAGCAGGTGAGACCCAAGGAAGAGAGAATTCTGGGAAAACGAGGAACAGACTGGAGAAGCATCGACAATGTGAGAGGCATTGACTCCGATTTCTTTTTTGCCTGGACAGGTTTTGCAGCGATGACCAACCACCACTGCACTGTAGGGGGCAAGGCTTCCACATTCCATCCCTCCTGTTACACAGCCACCTGAGGTCAGAAGGGTGGCAGGTGGGTGACATTGCCCACTGTGCAGACTGGGACCCGCCTGTGGGGCTGCTTGACTTCCCCTGGGTCAGGCAGCCGGCTGACGGCTGTCCTCCGGCATGAGCCCCTGAGTCGCTGACGGAGCTCTCCAAGATGCCCCATGTCATAAGACTTGGCATCCAAATGCTGTGACAGGGACGCACCCAGAAACAGAGCGGCTCTGATAACAACTACACTGTGAAGTGCAAACTGGCAAATTCATCTGGGGCTTCTCCTCCAGGCATCGAGGGCGACCCCGGTGCACAGCTTTCGCGGGGAGCTGGGGTCACGGCTGCCGACGCCAGGTACCACTCAGGCCAGGAAACCCGTGTTCTTTCCTGAAAATGGTGTTTGCTTTTCCCTAACTTTGTTTCATTTGCCTAAGTCTTGCCTTTTTAACAAGTTGATGAGCTCCCCTAGGGCAGGGGTCCTACCCAGGATTCCCCTTACAGCCCACATTGCCCAGCTGGGTCAGGCACAGGGCGGTTGCTTTGATGGTCCTTGCTGAACGGAGCATGCTGAGCGGGGACCCCCATCTGCTGAAGAAAATCCCAGATATAACACAGTTACCACTTTTTAAAGGTTTTCCCAAAGCAGGAGGTTTAGAAATTAGCCAGTATTTACCTGAATAAGTAGTAGTAACATTTGCCCATGCACAATCTAGCCACTTTTTGTTTAATAACCCACACAGAAGACTATGACAGCTGCCTCCCTGGCCGGTGCCCCTACCCTCTTACAATCTCAGTGTCTCTCCCTCTCTCTGCCCACCCCTCTTCGTTTCTAACACACAGGCACGTGCACAAACATGCATGGACGGGCACGACTCCAGCCAAGGTGACACACCAGCCACTCTTCCTGAATCTACAAACTTGAATCAAGCCATCAAGCTCGTAGAAGGTCACCACCGGGCCTGTTTAGAAGCGCTCATGTCTCTAAACAGGTGCTGCCTCCCCAGTTCTCCCACATCTAGCTCTGCCCTAATTAGGGGCAGCGCTCCCCCCGGCGTCCTGCGAGCCTCAGACTGCCTAGTCACTGACACCCGGGGGATGGTGTAAATAGGGAAGAGAACCACAACCTTCTGCCTCTGGGTGAGCACGGACCCTTCCCGGGGGCCGGCTGATGAGAGCGGTCTGGCCGGCCAACCTCTGTGGAGTGGCCCCCTCCCCCGGGACCTCCTTCCCTCCTCGTTCTTCCTCATGAGAGTTACAAGTCAGGTTTCTTTGGGGCATAGTAAAGGTAGTTTCTATTCCTAAATAAATCATTAAGTTAATAATTTTATCTGAGTCCTGGTCAAGATGATGGTGGATGAGGGAGTGAGCTCACGCAGCAGGATCTGGCCGACCCGGCCTGGCTAAGGGACCCGGTACGATGCACTGGCACGCCTGTCCCTGCTCCTTATATGCTTATATCGTGGGTGGGCTGCCACCACCCAGTCAAGGCAGCAACCACTTTGCTGTAAAACTTGAAACCACTTAGGAGGGGAGAGAGCGCAGAACAAAGAAAAGCCTACAACAAGCCACTGGTGAAGCAGCTTGAGAAACTCCGGAGACTGTAGAGGACCTTGGGGCCTATGGAAAGAGATTACAGTGCAAAAGCCCTGGGGTCTGGATGCAGAAGCCCAGGAAGACGGAAGGAAAGCAATCAGCAGCTTCCCTTCCTCTCCCTACGTAAGGAT